CTTCTGGAACAATCAAGGAACAGCTTGCAGCCATAGCACCCGCCCTTGAACAGCTCTGGAAACAGAAAGAGAAGAGGGTTAAGGAATTTTTTGATGTGCAATCAGAGATACAGAAGATATGTGGAGAGATCACTGGGAGTTTAAACATTAGCGAGAATCCAGTAGTAGATGAGTCTCAACTTTCTGTGGAAAAGCTTGACGAATACCATTGCCAACTTCAAGAGTTGCAGAAAGAAAAGGTAAGTTTTAGTTTGAGAAGCTATATATTTTGTTTATCGTTCTTCTTTCATCAAGCTAATCTTGGATCAATTATTCAAAGAACAGAGTGAAAGGTTGCACAAAGTTCTTGAATTTGTGAGCACCGTGCATGATCTCTGTGCTGTCCTTGGGATTGATTTCTTTGGTACTGTAACTGAGGTTCACCCAAGCTTAAACGACGCAACTGGAGTGCAATCTAAAAGCATTAGCAATGATACTTTATCCAAGCTAGCAAAGATGGTCTTAGCACTGAAAGAAGACAAAAAGCAGAGGCTACATAAGGTGAATTTAATATTCTGAACTTGTTTCTTTAAGGATGAGTTTGGCGTAACATCTAACTTAAACAATTCACTTCTTTTTTCCTCAAAACACTTTTTGTAAAACTAGTTTTAATTAAAATACTTGTGTGTTTGGTTACTTTTTCTTAAGAGTGATTTTAATCCAAAGTTCATTTGGCTGCATTGCATCTAAAAGTGATTCTACAAAGGCCATCATAAAGTAATTCTAAGCGATTACCAATTAACTATTTTATAATATCTCTTTTTGGATGATCAACTTTAAAATGATTCTTCACAAAATGATTTTAAACTAATTTGATTGTTTCATAAGTGATTTTTATTTGTTACTGAACACTCAACATTCTTTATAGAACACCTTAGGCCTTTCAAAATCACTTATGAAATTAATCCAAGCACCCACTAAGAAGAGAATTTCAAAGTTACGTTTGATTTGCCTCCTTGCTGCAAAATATGAAAATAGGTATTTATGTGGATGTGAAACAACTACGTAATATCAATCAAGCTTAACATTTAAAATGATATTTAAATAAACTTTTTATGGTATTCAATTTAGTTTGAAAATTTAAAATCTTCCCACTAAGATGCATCCTCATTTTTATCATTTAAAAGGATATTAGAATTACAATTACTTGTGGCATTGTATCTCGATTGAATTTATTGCTTTAGTCATACTAAAGTGGGAAACAGAAGTATGTCATGCACTCGGATTGTTTCATGGCTTGGTATGTCTTTTCTTCTTTATTTGCAACTAGCACGTATAACAATGCATGGAAACTAGAGCTTTTTGGAGTTTGAAACAATGCATAGGCAGCTTTACTATTTTTCAACAGCACTTGTACATATCAGTTACAGGGATATAGATTTGTACGTTCTCATACATGCTAGACCTTGCACTATTTCTAACTCAAGATTATGATGATATTCGTTTAGTTTTTTTGTTGTAGACCTTTTAATCTTTGTATTTTATTTATTGTACTTTCATATACAGCTTCAAGAATTGGCAACTCAGCTGATTGATCTTTGGAATTTAATGGACACCCCCTCGGAAGAAAGAAGTTTATTTGATCATGTCACGTGTAACATATCAGCATCAGTAGATGAAGTGACTGTCCCTGGGGCTCTTGCTCTTGATTTGATTGAGCAGGTATTTAAGTGTTCTTTAGATCTCTTGCTGTAAATTTGTACAGGTGTGGGTGTTGACTCTTTTTTGTACTGCATGTTAAATATAAATAAGGCTGAGGTGGAGGTTGAGAGACTTGATCAACTCAAGGCCAGTAGGATGAAGGAAATTGCTTTCAAGAAGCAATCTGAACTTGAAGAGATATTTGCTCATGCTCACATAGAAATCGTCCCAGAGGCAGCTCGAGAAAAAATTATGACACTGATTGATTCGGGTAATGTTGAGCCTTCTGAATTGCTGGATGACATGGACAATAAAATAGTAAAGGCCAAAGAAGAAGTTCTCAGCAGGAAAGAAATATTGGACAAGGTTGAAAAATGGATGTTAGCATGTGAAGAAGAGAGCTGGCTAGAAGACTACAATCGGGTACTTGTCCTTTCCCGCTATCATATTAAAACTATTAGCTAATAACCTAACTCTAAAAATTTGATTATGTTGATTTGCCTGTATGAAATCTTTTGATTTTGTGCTATTTTGTAATTCCCTGGACTAATTGGTTGGAAAACTTACAGTTACAAATTTACTTCTTACGTGGTTGATATAGCTAAGTTCTAAACATCATCTCAGTTTCACAGTTGAAAATTTGAATGTCGCTCCCAAAGACTGAGAGAGACTAAATGTATATGCTACTTTATTTTCTAAAAAATACTGGACTTGTGTTGTGTTTTGACGCCATTGGCATCACCTTGCAGGATGATAACAGGTATAATGCTAGCAGAGGGGCTCATTTGAATCTCAAACGTGCAGAGAAAGCTAGGATTCTGGTCAACAAAATTCCAGGTTTGTTGTATATACTTGTCCGTTCTTCAATATTGCTCTTACAATTCCGTGCATACTAATGCTTGGCTCTTGTTGATGACTTGATTATGAAGCTCTTGTTGACACTTTAATTGCCAAAACTCGGGCATGGGAGGAGGATCGTGGCATATCGTTCATTTACGATGGTGTTCCTCTTCTTGCTATGCTTGATGAATACACCATGCTCAGGCATGAAAGAGAGGAAGAAAAACGACGATTTAGGGTAAAATTGTTTCTAGCCTCGTGACGTCGATCAACTTATTTGTGTACATGTTACTTTTGGTTTGGCATTGCCTCAACTGAACACTAACACTTTGGATAGCTTTAATTTGCTCATGTGACATTTGAAGTTACCCGTTAGTGACCTCTTATGGTGGACATTGCAGGACCATAAAAAATTTCATGAGCAGCAAAGCACAGACCAAGAGAGCATCACGAATTCAAGGCCTAGCCCTGCTCGACCTATCGGTACAAAGAAGGCAGCGGGACCTCGTGCCAATGGAGCTGTGAACGGAACTCCTAGCAGCAGAAGGTTATCGCTTAATCAGAATGGATCTAGATCTATGAATAAAGATGGAAAAAGGGATGGTATGAGACCAATGACACCTGTGAAGTATGATGCAATCTCGAAAGAGGACTCTGGCTCTGGCTCGCACGTTTCAGGTACGGAGCCTGTTTCATCTTCACCATGAGATGGAGGATAGAGATGTACTGTAGTGATAATAGGTCTATATAATACCATCTGTAATATTTGTAGTTGCTGGTGTAGTGGACGCGTTCCACAAAATAACGGAAGGTTAATGATGAGGGTTCTTTGTAGTTGTGTATGTTAGAAGAAGAAGTTGGATGCTTGTGGGTTAATGGTAGTTATTTTGTCCTCAATCTTTTGTACTCTACCGTCCAGAAGTGGGGGCAATACAGCTCTTTCGTCCTTTTTGGTTTTTGACTAATCTACTTCTCAATTGGACTCTGATTTTGTGATCTCTGTTTGTGTATGCATTTATTTCTCGTTTTCCTGCCTTCCTTCTTGTATATTTTTTATATTATGTAGTTGAAATTAATTCATTCAAATTGAAAATTATGTTGTAATAAATATTTATTTTCTTTATAAAATATAGGAAAAATTATGTTGTAATAAATATTTATTTATTATGTTGTAATAAACAAGATGCACTTGAATCCAAAATCTAGGATTCAATTGGACTGTCCACACTTAGGATCAGAGCATCCCAATGTCTTCTGCTAAACCAAAATCTAGGATTCCATGCCTAGGATCGAAGCATCCTAATGTCTTATGCTAAACTTGTAGAATCATAATCATCCTCTGATTTGTGATTTTTCTTCCTCGTCTTTACAATAAGTTCAAAAGTGACTCTTTGATCCGCCTTTGTTTGGACCATTTGATTTACTTCTTCACCTTTGGTCAACAAGGGGAGCATTTATCATATGAGTCTCCATTTTTTTTTTTTTTTTTTTTTTTTTTTTTTTTTTTTTTTTTTTTTTTTTTTTTTTTTTTTTTTTTTTTTTTTTTTTTTTTTTTTTTTTTTTTTTTTTTTTTTTTTTTTTTTTGACAACTACATCTTAGATTTCATCGAATTTTAGTTTTTCAGATCATCATTCGCAACAACAATCGTATTCCACGATTTGGGTAAATATGACCTTAAAATCCGTGCTTTAATTTCATCTTCAAAATTAATTTCTATCAAACTCAGTTGACTTACCATCATATTGAATTCATTTATATAATCTGCAACAGATCCATCTTCAGACATTTATAGATCGAACAATTTCCGCATCAATAGCACCTTATTTCATAGCCGACAATTTTTCGTACATATTCGACAATCTCTTCAACATATTTAACATTGCCTCCTCCTTGATGATGTTGAATGCCACGTTTTTGGACAACGTCAACCGGATCAACCCTAGGGTCTATCGATTCTTAAGTTTCCACTGGTCCGTGGTCATGATATTTGACTTCACCCCAAACAGTGGTTCGTGAAGATCTTTTTGGTACATATAATCTTTAATTTGCACCTTCAAAAAACAGAAATTGGATCCATCAAACTTCTCAATTTCAATCTTTGAACTTTTCATTTTCTGAGATGGTGGTGATTGATGACTTTAATATGTAAGTAAGAGAAAATATTGACAATAAAGACAAAAAAAAAAAAAAAACATTTTCAACCACGAGTATATACATCATTTAATCTTTATTTACTTTATCATACATAACTTGATAACCATTGATTAAATTATAAATAATTAACTAGCTCCATGACCTAACAATGGCCACACCCACATGTCTATCCTTAAACTATTTGGATCCTTAAATATACCAAAGACCCTTTATATTATTTCTGTTAGCTCAAAGTTTTAGTATATAAAAAGAAATTATTGTCATTAAATGTCAGTGACTATGATTGTGGGTACGTGTGTGTATATATACACATATTATATTAAGGTTCATTGTTCTTCTTTGGTAAGAAAAGAAAACCACCTTTGATCGTATCAGATTCCGAGACTCTCCAATACTTTCTTGCTCCAAGCAGTCGAAGATGGCGAGCGAGACCGAGCCGGCAAAGCTCCTTCTACCCTATCTCCAGCGAGCGGACGAATTGCAGAAGCACGAACCTCTTGTTGCATATTACTGTATTTCTTAGCTTTAATTCTTCATCCTGGCCTTTTTTCTTTTTTTTTTTGTTTTGATTTCTTGATTGATTAGGCGTTTTCCATGTTAAGGTCGATTATATGCTATGGAACGCGGACTTAAGATTCCACAGGGCGAGCGTACCAAGACTACAAATGCCCTCCTTATTTCCCTCATGAATCAGCTTGAAAAGGTTTTGGATTTACTTCTTCTATTAAGCTTGTATTTGTTCAATTTAGTGGATTATATGGATTTTTTGGCGTCGAATATTCCCAAACTGGAACTATTGCTTATAATGGATTCGTGTTTGAAGATTTGGTGTCTTGTCTTAATGGAATGGATACCCGCATGTTACCTAGAATCAGGGGTGATCAAGGCAACTTAGGGCTTGGGAAAATATATGTATTTGGAGTTTTATTTGTTTTTGTAATGAATTTGGTACTCTGTGAATTTTATTTTTCATTGTCATATCATATTTTTAAATTGATATAAATCTATTTAGGTTATATTTCTCAAAATTTATGGATTCTAGTAGGTTTACTTCTTCTTTTATTTGTGTTTTCACTTAAATTGAATAAAAAAGATAATCACAAACAAATAAAACGCAATAAATATGGTATTTAACACGTTCATTAGCACCCCCAAATCAACTGTAAACAGAGTTTGTAATATGGTATTTACTTCTTCTTTTATAAATTAGGTTTGTAATATCTGCTTACTGATCAATCCATCTATCCTTCTCAGGATAAGAAGTCACTTAGCCTGGGGCCTGATGATAGTTTGCATCTTGAGGGCTTTGCATTGAATGTCTTTGCAAAGGCAGACAAACAAGATCATGCTGGACGAGCGGATTTGTATGGCAATGAATCAATGATCTTCTTTCATTTAGAAACATATATCAACTCTTGCAATTTTAGTTAGTTTTATAGATTATAGTTATCTGCTTGTCTTGGGAAACTGCTCTTAAAAACTAGGATTGGATTAGATCAGATAACATTTTAGTGGTCTTTAGTACGTCTTTTAATGATTAATGTTATAGATTATTGTTCTGAAAAATAGAAAACTGTTTTGAATATGGTTTCCAAATAAGTCTTTTATTTTCTTGATTCCAAGCAGCTAGTTTTTTCTCACTTGTGGAATATGGCTGGTTACCTGTGTGTGTTATGTGCAGAACGTATGATTTACACCCAAAAAATGAATTTCGGTTTTCAAAAGTTCACCAAAATCTATACGGAATGGTTTTTGTTTGATATTAAGCATCATTCTTATTCTTCCGTAACTCCCTTTTATGGCTATATGAGATGTATGTTTAGATCATAACTTCCTTGAACTTTCTCACGTTCAATATCTTTGTGGAAGTGTCAAAAATATGTCTTTCATATGATTTGCATTTAAGTGATGGCAGCTCTTTTCCATTACATTTGTATCCTTTTGCCATTATTTGGATATAGATTGAGAAATCATAGTTGTAGTGTCTGACTTTCTAATGGCTTTAAATATTCATAGGAACACTGCAAAAACATTTTATGCCGCAAGCATTTTCTTTGAGATTATTTCTCAGTTTGGTCCACTTCAACCAGACGTGAGTTTCTTTGCTGATTGACCGTGTTTTAATTATCTGAATTGTATCTATGCTTAGCTTTTTTCCTTCATTTATAGCTGGAGCAAAAACGGAAATATGCAGTCTGGAAAGCAGCAGATATCAGGAAGGCTTTGAAAGAGGGAAGAAAGCCACAGCCTGGTCCACCTTCTGGTGATGAAGATCTCTCTGTTCCTTCAAGTACACCTACCACTGCAAATGTATGGTTCAGAGCCTAACTCTTGGTTATCTCTTGACCTACATATTATGAAATTATAGTGATGCATATTATGAAAATGTAATATTATTTGTTAAATTTTCTTTTCTCCATATTTGGAGTCGTATCACTATACAGAAAAGTACTTACCTCGATGTTTGTCTTTATAGGACGCAAGTCCAGGAGAGCCCGAGTTCTTCAGAACTCAATCGCTGTCAGATTCGTTACCTCAGGTTCATGATAAGGTTAATGATGATCATGTAAATATCCCACAAACTCCTCAGGTCTACGACAACATGAACAACCACACTTTAAACACGTCGCCGCCCACCCGATTCCATAATGAAGTCAATAATCACCAGCACCCTCCAAATATTCCATCATACCCTGCATCTGGTTATCCATCCCATGATTTTCATCTACCTCCTACCAGGAATGAACCAGATGTTTCCTCTTATTCTCAGCCATTCCACCACGTACAATCCTACTCACAAGAGCCTCAACAACAGCCTTTGCCTCATAACTATCCTTCTGATGAAACCTCCCAAAATTACTCCTATCCCCATTTTCAATCTTATCCAAGTTTCTCGGAAAGCAGCCTCCCAGCGGCCCCTTCTCACAATCTGAACTATTACCATGGATCCGATTCTTCATACTCTTCCCAAGTGACCCCTCCTCCTGCTAGCTACCCATCAGATTCCCAATATCAATCAAACAGCAGAGACAGGACGACGTTGGAACCTCAAACTACCCCGGCTCCAACCAAGTCGTACCATTACGACAGCAACTACCAGCCACCTCCTGAGAAAATCGCTGAGGCACACAAGGTTGCGAGGTTTGCTGTAGGGGCTCTGGCGTTTGATGATGTTTCAGTTGCAGTAGAGCACTTGAAGAAATCACTGGAATTGTTGACTAACCCTTCAGCCAATCTGTGATTTTCTGGTTTTCTGATGGACTGACGTGAATTTTCTTTTGCCTTTATACCAGGTTTGATGTGTAAATTTAATTAGAGATTTATGCCCTCGAAACAGATAGCGTATACGACTCCCGATCCTTCGGTTGACAATATTATTGAGAAAGTTTGTTGATGTTTGTTCTTTTAGTTCAACATGTGCAATGAAATGATTTGAATCGTTCTAGTTCCTTAGTTCAACCATTTGAGTGCCATTTTATGGTCATAGATTTTTCTTCTTTCCTTCCTAAAAAGTGACTACTCGTTAATCTAATGTGTTTGGTATTTAATTATAAGATTACATGCAACAGATAAAGATTAAAATAGAATCAAACACATATACTCGAGCACGAGAATAATTATTGATAATGCGTACTCGGTGCGACCTAACAAAACCCACACAAAACAGCTTCATACACAAAGTAATTGTATGGTTACAATATTGAGATGGTTGTGTTGAGGGTGTGTTGGCAAGCGAATTCGGTGATGAGACTCACTGTGGACTACGTTGATGTTGTTGATGTTGTTCTTCTGAACTATCTTCTCCAGAACCATCTTGATTTATTTCTGAACCATGTTGATGTTTATTTATTGAACCACCACCCTGATCATAGTTTGTTGATTCACACTTCCTCCTGATGTCCCCCTCCTTCTTGTCTTGATTCTTATAATCAATAAACTTTTTCCAAGTATAAGCCTCAAGAATGAAAGTGATAACCCCCAAAGCTGTAAGAATTCCAGTCACTGCCAACTTCCATGTATTCTTATTGTCCGGTTTCAAAATTTTAATTCCTTCAAATATGTTTATGAATATGAGTGGTAGTAAAGCATATCCTAGAAAGTGATGGTAGATGTTCCACACTTTTCGGAAGTCGTCGGTCTTCCCTGGCTTGAACCTTATAGCCAATGTCTATCATAGAAAAGCATGTTAGTGTTATGAATCAAAATAAATGAAGATTTTAAAGGAGAAAGAGAGAGAGACTTGTAATGTGGCGAATACGAAAATGGTGATGCCGAGGACGTGATGGGTGAGGAGAATGTGGTGAGGGGACGAATGAGCGAGCCATATTCCAATGCCCCAACCGATGGCGCCAGTTGAGAATCCTATGGATTGGCAGGATACATGAAAGTAGTACCATCCATACTCCGTTTCGATTGGGAATTCCCTGAAGAATCTTGCAATTATCACTCCCACTGGCAACAATGTTCCCCACCCTATTATGTTCATTATCCCATGCACCTAACCAAACAAACAAACAACATAACGGTGAGGATTTGTTTTTTTTGTTTCTTTGAAATGTCTCTTTTCTTAGTTATAAACCCATGATCGATCGAGAGAGAGAGAGAGATTGATCGATCGATCCATCCATCCATACCTACCTGTCTGAGGTAAATCTTGATGAAGGCCATATCAGAACATTGTCCAGAAACCAAATCAATTGTCTCAAAGCTATCAATATTCTTCAAATTAGAGGCATGCTTCTTGGGCACATCCCCATCAGCATCAAATCCACTCTGCCACACAATATTCAGCTTCGAAACATTATAATCCGTAGAAGACAGATTCAGAGTAGCCGTCAAATAATAGTACCCTGTCCTATTATCATGTTCAAATCTCAAGCACTTCATCTCCTCCACATCCCTCGGCCGAAGCGGCCCGCATTCCCTCCTCGTCTCGTACCCCACTCTATAAGTCTTGCAGTGAGGCGGACCAGAAGGGTCCCTGATGCCAATGGCGGCTCTGCTCCCCACCATCCGACCCTCGGGCGTAGGGTTCACGCCCCATGCCAACCACCCCTTCTCCTCTCTCAGTGGGGCGCCAAACACCACTTGAAACACATGGTGGCAATTCTTCAATAATGGGGCGCTCCAACCCATCTCCGCGCCCAGGGTGGGGAGCCTGAGGCAGCGTGACATGTTCTTGCTCTTGGTGAGCTCGTAGAATTTGGCGGTGCATCGGTGGTAGTGCTGATGGGCGAGGGCTGTGGTTGGGGACAGGACAATGGCAATTACAAACAAAAAGGGGATTGGATAACAAGAATATTGCATGGTGGGTTATGATGGAATGCCAATATGCCATTGGGTGCTGCGTTTTATATTTATATTTACAAACAAGGGAATATTAGTAAGCTTCGGTATTACCCAAAGCATGCCATCACTTTTGTGGTAAAAGAGATATCATTATATACTTGCTATCTCATCCAAGTTTCTTCTTTTGTGCTCTTTTATTTCCAGAATATATTCTGCAAATTTGTATTCTTTAGGGAATGATTCTATTTTGTTTGGGGTACCATTTATGATGTTTTCCTTTCAATAATTATTTCGGGATGATTTCATTCACATTTTTAATATTCTACTCAATTATGATATGCATTTCAACTTATTCTCACTAGCTATGTTGTAGCATCGACCCATATCTTGAATTCGAATAATTCAAATTTGGCACCTGGCTTTGACATCTCGTTGAACATAACTACGTTACTTACTCCTTACATGCTTTGTCCAAATCAATCAATATGAGTCTTTCTAAACTGAAGTCACCTAATACAATTATTTTAAACAAAATATGCTTAATTTTTTAGTTCAGTCCTAGTATGCTTTCTTTAGCTATTCTATCCTCATGGTCACTTTTATTTGAAGATGATTTTAGTCTCTCATTTACTCGGTGTGATAAGTGGTTTATTAATTTTCTCAAATTAGTTTAAAAATTATGCAAAGGGAGAGAGATCTAATATGAATAGAGAACGTTTTCATGAACTCGTTCAACAATTAATATTCTAAGTTAGTATTTTATATACATTCGCATAAAATAGTTTGTCACAGCTCAGTTTTAGATCTAATCTAAACTATAATCAACTATTTTATGATATAACATTTTTTTTATATCATGAGTTTACAGTATCATATAATTTATAATATATCACATCATATATTTTTTAAATTAACAAAAGTAAAATAACTGTAATTAGATTTTTTTATATTACATCCTACAAGCATGCAAAATAACATTTTCATCATCCACTAGTAATTATATATTTTTAGATTAAATTTTGTTAGGAAGAATTTTATCATTACTTAATTGTTTTAGTGATTTTATTTTGTGTAGTGCATATGCGATTATAAGTATTGTTTGTCTTCCATGTTTGCTAAACATTCAAATACTGGTTAGTTAAGGAATTTGGTGATTGTTTTAATCTTGACGTAAGAACAAATTCTTTGATATTAAAGTAATTCCTTATCTAATCATCATATTACTAATTATGGCATGCATATTAGAGAGGTCTATGATGTCTTTTGCATAGTCGAGTATCAATTCACTTTGGTTTGAAAGTTATTTTGATATCATGTTCTTTGGTATCAAAAATTTAGCTTAACCTTTCTTTCTTTTATTCTCAACTCCTAATCATGTTTATTGGTTCTTTAGCGTTAAACATTTCAAAATTATAATTGATTCATGATCCATATTTTTAAATGGGGATATTCCCTTTTATGATGCCCAATTCTTGTCCGTCAAAACACATTTGACTTTCGTGTCAAAGCAATGATAAATTTGTTTGATCGGAGAAGACGGTTAAAATATCACTAGCCCAACCACCACTAAACCAATAATTGTACTAGCTCGTTATCTATGTATGTTAGAAGAAAAATTTAGGTATTTTAGAAATAAGTCATCTATACAATAAATACTCATCCACCCTACTAAGGTTTCATTCCAATATGGAAGAGTGTAGTACTTTCTATAGGGTGTCTTGTAATTTTTCTTGATTCGTCGTAATAAAGAGTGTGAGTGTTCCCACAACTAACAATATGAAATCAAATAACGTTGGTATAAATTGTTTGATCTCTTGAAATTCTTAGTATACTATGTTATTGCACCTTTATCTGATCTTCCACATCATAAACAATTTCTTGAAATTAATAGTAAGTAAGTTTCTTTATGTCATGAGTAGTTCGTGATACTGCAAGTTCTGTGTTGATAATGTTTGTTTGGTATTACTGAGGTTCACCAGCACAATGAGTGATCTCCAAGTCGTTGGAGGTATTAAGAGACTCGATGGCAACAACTACAACATGTGAGCAACATGCGTGATGTCTTATCTACCAGGACAAGACCTCTAGGAGGTCATTGTCAAAAGCGAAATTAGGCAGCTAGAGGAGGATCCCAATGATGCCTTCTACAAATGGAGAATCAAAGCAGACAAAACAATATTTTTCTTGAAGATCACAATCGAAGAAGAGATGTTGGAGCACATTCGGGATGACAAGACACCAAAAGAAGCATAGAACACGTTTGTGATGATTTTCTTAAAGAAGAATGATACGGGGATACAACTTCTAGAGACGATTTATTATCAATCTCACAACCTGACATGACGATTGCTCAATACTTCCACAAAGTCAAGTTGATCTTTCGAGACATTACTGAACTCGTCATTGGAGAAGTTCGAATGAAGAAGATTATCATCTATGGATTACAACCAAAGTATAGAAGTTTCGTTATTGCTATACAAGGATGATCCCCAACTATAACTTATAGAGTTTGAAAATTTGCTAGCTAGCCAAGAAGCCATGTCTAAGAAAATGGGAAACCTCACGCTGAAGGGTGAAAAAGAAGCACTCTACACAAATGAAAGTCAGAGCAACAATAAGCCACATGGATACAAAAATGGTGACAAAGACAGAAATCACCAAGGAACCACACAACTTAGGAGAGTTAAGAAGAATTACAACCCGAGCTTTCAAGGAGATTTGAAGACATTTGCTTCAATGGTGGAAAGAATGATATGTTTAAGGATTTTTGGTTTAAGAAAAAGTTCAATGAGAGCAACACAGCAACCTCCAAAATGGAAATGGAGGATTAATGGGATGTAGAAATACTATATTCCTTAAAAGAAGATCAACAAACACTCATGGCGATGGCGATGATGGAAGAGAATGCGATTATGAAAATGATTAGGTTATTGATTTAGGATGTCAAACCACCCAACTAGTGATCAAAGTAGCGCAATGGAAGCACGGTAGTTTTCAAAGAAGAAAATCTTACTAGACTCAAATGACATCGAATAAGTGGAACATGTGAGTGAAAGAAAAAAGACCTAGCTACATTTAGAATATGATGATGTTTATGTTCTAAAACTCAATTTTATTGTGGAGTATAAACACAAGTACGCTGAAATTCAATGTCACAAGAAGTAAAAAATGGTTGCAAAAATAGGAACTCAGTCTCATTGTCTGATCGTACTATCTTGATAGTAGTGTGAAATTGGATTTGAACGAATTTAACAAAGTTCATTAGCAAGTGTTGTACTTCTAATTTATGTTGCATAAGAAAAACCTAAGTACATTGAGTAAAATTATCAACACCGGTGAAAAAGAAATGTAAACCAGAATGAGTAGGAATTTTATGAGGTCCCCAAACATCACAATGTAACCGATTAAAGACAAAATGTGTTGTTATTGAGGTTCTTGGAAAAGACAACCTAGTTTGTTTTGCTAATGGGCAAATACTACAGTTATGAGAAAAAGTACGACATTATTAAGATGCAATTTATCAACTAGAATTTTAAAACGAAAAAATGAAGGATGACCTAGGCATAAATGCGAGAAATCAAGGCTGAAATACTTGATGAGCTGAAGTTTTAATTGGAGATGAACAAATATGATAGAGACCTCCAAATTGTTTACCCGAGCCAATCATCTTTTCCATAGCCAAGTCCTGCATAACATAAGAATTAGAATAGAATGTGACAACATTTCAAGTCATTTGCTGATGGACATCATGTTTAAATTGAATGAAGGCACACATAAAAATTGTTTAATTTAAGGTCAAGATTAAAGGAAACATTGCTAGTATGTGACACATGTGTTGTCCCTCAATTTGGCAAATTTATTGCAGAATTGATTGTAGTCTTTGGTTTAGTCATAACATAAGATTTGGATATTATGATCCGTATCTCAACTATCGAGAATCCATAAATTAGAACTAGCAAAGTTAATGGATATTGCAGGTATTGAAAACAAACGTGCAAAATTGATGTAACTGTTAGAATTACTAGAAGGACAATGATTCAATGCAGATAAGATTTGCGCGCAGTAACTCCTCAAAGCAAAAAATTGGAATGAAATTAGGTAACTGTTCTTTTTTATTCAATTGAGAAGCATCAACCATATTCGCAGATGATCTATATCCATGGCTGCTGCATTGATTGACTTGTACTACCTTTCCAGAATTATTTTTCGGTCGACATCGATCTTTTGTATGTCCCATTTTATCACAAAATACAATAAAACTTAAGGGTTCAACACTCATCAATTGTATGACTAGTCCTATTGCAGTGTTCACATAATTTGTCCTTGGTAAATTTTGAATATGTTGTCTTCTTCTGCACTGCTTCTACAGATGAGAAATTCTCATTAGAAAAAGAAGTTACCTGACATTGCATATCTTCTTGTACAAGTAATGAATAGGCTTACCTCACATTAGGTAATAGAGTCATCATCAACATGTTAGATCTCACCCTTTTATAAGACTCATTGAGCCCCATGAATTGTTGCATCAACTTGTCTCGCTTTTAATTCATCCTAGAATATTTTGAGGTTGGTGAAATATGTTGATAGTGCCGTAGTTTCTTGTGATATCATTGCTATCAACTTTTATATTTGAAAAATTGTTGGAACATTATTTTATTAGAATTGATCATGAAGATCAATCCACACTTGATCAGCTGTCTTGACGTGAATAATACATTCAGCAATATCTAGTTCAGCTGAATGAGTTAACCAAAATAATACCATAGTGTGACACTGGTTTTAGAGTTCAAATTCTTTTAAATTTGTCTCTTGAGACGGTTCTTCAATTGTGCCATCAATGAAACCAAATTTTTTTTTGAAATAAGAGCATGCATGAGTCATTTACTCCCGAATTGGTAATTTATCTAATTTAATTTGATTGAAATAAGTGAAGATGAGTATTGAATGTAATAAGGATGTGTGAAATGGTTTTGAAGCTATATTTGGCGGATTATGACATTAAAAAAATAAAAGAAACTATTTTTAAATTGGGTTTGATTGAGTTATCTAAGTTTTTTTTTTTTTAATTATTTAAAAAAAAAATCTTATTTATTATATTAATAATTAAAATTTCATAAAACTAAAATATTCACAACTCACCCTACTTCACTAACCTCACCTCAGTCTGAAGTCAAATATTATTAAGTTTCGTAATAATCCTCTCTCGAAAGTTGGTCAAGTTTCCACTATCAAAATTATGTCAACAACTCAAATTTTAGATGTTTAAAAAAATACAACCCAACTCAAACGGAAGCAAAATCCAATCGAACTCGTATGGGGCGGGTTGTGGGTTGTGGGATGTTGGAGAGCTGTGAGCTTAAAAAAGTTGATCCAATCCTCCCAAGTCCACAAACTGATACATTATTGAGAGCATACACAAATGACTTAGCAAACAGAAACAAACAATCATATTTTTGTTTGGTAAATTGTAAAATGGGAAATCCAAAGGTAGTTAGCCAAGAAAGTGTGCGTTTAATTATAAAGTCCCATATCCCCCAACCGACCTCAAAAATTGGCGGAGCATTCCCAATTTTCTAATACCCACACAACAAAATTCTGAGCTTCTCCAAAAGCATGCCCCCTATATTTTAGATTCCTCAATACCCCATCATGCACACCACCACTCCCACTTTTTTAACTCATGCCTTCCCTTATAAATGCACCTCTTTCCCGGATCTGCTTCAATGCCCACACCATGGCGGACCTCATCGCCGGGAAGAGGAGGAGAGGCGCCGCCGCCAGCAGCACCAGCACCAGCAGCACCAGCAGCGGAGACAGGGTGTTCCGCTTCAAGAGCTTCGGGAAGAATGGCCATCCTACCCAGTTTCTCGGCTGCTTCTGGGAGAATGTGGAGGCGCTCCTAGGGTTCGGCCACTGGGAAACTGGAGAGTGTTCCAACCGCTTCCGGTGTTGGTCGTTTCGCCTGCAGGTTCAGCGCCACCCCCCCTTCCATGTCGTGCTGTTTGTGGTGGAGGAGCCGGCTGAGGCGGCTACCGCCGTGGCCAGGCACTGCAAACAATGCCAGTATGTTGGTAGGTTTTTTATTTTTTTTATTTTTTTAGTTTCATTTTGATGAAACATTTTAAAAAATATATTTAAGAATTTTATAAGTATTTATTTCTTTGAATTTTTTTAATATTAATTAAATATAATATAATTTAACTCTCTTATTAAATTATTTTTTTAAAAGTTTATTAATAAAATATAAGTCCTACATCAATAATATTCATTTCTAATGAGTTATTGATTGAGGTGTGTGTAATAGTATTCTAAATTGGGGCAATATACTTTCAGGGTGGGGACATCATATGATATGCAATAAAAGATATCACTTTGTGTTGCCGTCAAAGGACACAATGATGGCTGCTTCTTCAAACAGCAAAAGCATGTTGAGTTCGAGGCTGATGGAATTACAAGGCCATATTCTTCATGGGGTTTTCCATTCCAATGGCTTCGGCCATTTGCTGTGTCTCAATGGCCTTGAAATGGGCAATTCTTTACCCGGCTACATTGTCATGGACTTTTGGGATCGCTTGTGCAATGCACTTAAAGCAAGGTTAGGCCTATTTTACAAAACTTACTTACTTTTACAAGAATTTGATACGTATTTGACATAATCACATCTTAAATATTCATTTACTTTGATGAGAAACGCAACGTAGAAAGGTGAGTTTGAGGGATATTGCACAAAAGAAGGGAATGGAACTGAGGCTACTCCACAGCATTGCTTATGGCCAGCCATGGTTTGCCCAATGGGGCTACAAATTCAGCCGTGGTGCCTTCAAAGTCACCATTCAAATGAACCAAAGAGCAATCGAAGCCCTTCAAACCCTCCCTCTTTCGCTCCTTCTCCACCACCTTGTCATTGCTCATCCACACATTCCCTTCATTTTCTCCAAGTACCAATCCCTCTCCATCCACCCTCTTCACACCCTCCAAGACCTACTCCAATTCATGCTCAATCTCAAATCCCCTCTCCCCACACAAAATTCTTTACAACAACACTCCCATACCTTGCCTGCATTCTTGCTCGAAAACTCATCTCGATGGTCCCCGAAGCGTGTTGAGATGGCGGTTCGAGTCATTGTCGAGGCATTGAAACGAGCCGAATTTCGATGGGTATCACGACAGGAGGTACGGGATGCCGCTCGTATTTATATTGGCGATACGGGGTTGTTGGATTTTGTGTTGAAATCATTGGGAAATCATGTTGTTGGAAATTATTTGGTACGAAGAACACTAAATCCGGTGACCAAAGTGCTCGAGTATTGCTTGCAAGATGTTTGTAGTAGCGTTCAAATGAAACCTAGGTGTGTTAATTTACCATTAACTTCAAAAGCTTTAAATGTAATGGAAAATTAATTTATTATAATTATTATTATTTTTCATTTACATTTTGAACAAGGTGTATAGTTGGGAGAGCGGAGTTGGCTAAGGATATATCCAACGTCTACAAATACATTCTTGGAGACCAAAAGGCATTGCAAGCTAAAGGAATCCTTCCCACTCTAACAATGGCTTCTGAGATCATCCTTGACTCGAAGTTTCTGGTGAAGGAGTATACAACCGAGCCACAGGTGAAAACCAAGCTCGAAACGGAAGGCAAACAACACATATTGTGCACAATTAGAGTGAAAAGACAAGAAGCAACAACAACAACACTTCCATATGAATGCATTGGATTGAAGAACAATGGCACCATTGATGAGCTAAAGAAGGAGGTGGAAAGGAACTTCAAGGAAATGTATTGGGGATTGAGTAGGTTTGTAGTGGAAAGGATAGTGGATTTGGAGGCAAAAGGGAGGGATTTGGTGTTTGAGTTGATGGAAGTTGGTGGGAAGTTGGTGTTTGAAGGAAGTGGAGAAGATGAAGGGAGGGTTTTGATAAACAATAATGATGGAATTGAGAAGAGAATTATGGAATGTGTTTGTGGAGCTGTGGAAGATGATGGGGAGAGAATGGTGGCTTGTGATATATGTGAAATTTGGCAGCATACAAGGTGTGTTCAAATACCAAATGAACAACAAGTTCCTCAAATTTTTATTTGTAATAGGTGTGATCAAGAAATTGCATTGCTACACTCCTTGCCTTAGATGCTATCCAAATTTGTGTGCTTCAACAATAAAGACTCTTTTAAGTGTTTCTTTGCTAATTCCATACATCCTTCTTTATAATTAATCATTTCGTTGGAGCGAAATTGTCAAAAGAAATTGCGATACCTACGTTAGTTGTAATAAATTTTATGGTTATTTTAAAGAGGTCTCTAGCTTTAAGTATGTGTAATCAAGTTGAGTCGTCGTCATACATGAGACTTTTGCCTTTACTTGAAAAAAGAATAAACATAGAATGAGTAATAAAAAAGGTTCGCATATGAACTAAGACATCTATATGAACTTTAAAGAAAATGAGTCTCGTCTATTCTTGAATGGTTACAAATATTGGGTGGATGATCATTTAGAGTTATGGTGTTTATTGAATTTAGTTTAAGACTTTTATTTAGTTTACATTTACACTTTGACTAATAATGGTCATAAAATATGAAGATTAAAACTCTTAAAATGTGTCGTGGAAGGTAACGGTTGAATAGTGGCTAATTATGGTCATAAAGACATGTTGTTTTTGTAAAATAGACTTGGAATATGTAGTAAAAAAGACATTTGTGTTTTCATTTAGCCAATAACTAATTTTCTTTGCCATTGTACGTAGAATATGCTACATGTTTAGAATCATTCAAACTTGATATAACCGATTGTAATTACGAAGTGATTCGAGTCTCAAACAAGTAATTTTGTCTTGAAATAATTAATCAACAAGGTAATCTGAATATTACTTTCCCTTGAAGTTTATTTTTTTTTTATCGGAGTTCTTAGAAAAGTTAGATTCGAAGGTCATGTTTTCAACCGAGTTATTAGATCAAATCTCAAAAGTTCCTTATCATATTCAGTAACTGATCTCAATGGAGTCGAAAATATAATCACTTGCAACATGGTTAGTAATAGGTGGGACTTACTTTTCTCACTATTTTTTGAGTTGAAAATGCTTTCAAAATGATCTAAAACGATCCAGTTAAGCCAACTAAATCGAAGAAGTGGACCGTAGATTTGTTTTTTTGTTTTCAATTAGACTATAACACATGAAGAGCCTATAACTTTAATTATTATGGATAAGCTCATGTTGTCCACCATTTAATATGATATCACAAGTGGATTATTTGTACAAATGTTGGATGCTTTTGGTATGAGAAGAAACTTGGTTAGTATTCAAGTGAGCACACATTTAGTGAACATAACATAACCCTAATTAAACCAATAGGTATAGCTACTTACTTTCCAAATCTCACACAATTCTATTTACTAACATAATGTTGCCAATATACATAATATCGATAGGTGTGATTTTGGTGATTAGTTGATCACTAATATGTTACCCAAAAATCATAAAGTCATGAAGTTGTATTTCTAGCACGAAAATAGAGATTTTTGTATTTTTGGATCGTTTTTATGACTATGGTTAACAACACTCATTAAATATAGATAATTAACTTTTCTTTATTTTTTTAAAATTAAAATTTAAAATAAACGAAAAATTATTGGAAAAACTTTGAAGTTTTGAGCGATTTTCTTAAACTAGAGTTTAGAGGTTCATTTAAAGCGTGAAACACATTATCTAAACATTCATAAGCTCAACGGAGAGATAACATCCATCAACCACTCTAGAATAGATTAAAACATCACATCATCTTTTCTAGTGCAATGGAATACATTTAAAACAACATGCATCTTAAAAATCTCATCCTAGGGGAGTTTCAATAATTTTCCAAAACATACCCAACATTCTCATCTAAATTGTCTTCATCAAGTCCTATTCGTGCATAATCTAACCACACTAGAAAATTCTGCTTGAATTCTAGTATGTCCTAGATATCGAACTACTTGTAGGTCCAGTAACCAACCTATTTGTAGGCTCTCATCGCATTCTTGACCTAGCTTGAATGCCACAAACTTTACTCTAGGCTCTAGTTGTATTGCTCTTTTTGTGCATAGTCTTGGGTAGCTAGCTGAGCCTATGCAGCAATGACCGATGTTTGATATTGAGGTGCTACGTCAACGAATTTTAACTAACAGGTGGAGACAACATGGTGAGTGCTAGTCTGTTTGATAAGGATCATGATGTTCCAAATGTTCAACTAGACCTATTACACGATTCAAGGCCAAAAAGATTCAACAAGCATTCATTCTTCCTCCACAAAATTGGATAGGTTCGATTCAACCATTATTTCACGTGTTACAAGCTGATTCGATTGAGGAAGGACCATTTGAAGCTTTAGAAATGAATACTTGCACCGTTGAAGTAGGGGATGAAGTTGCTATAAATTGCACTGATTGATAAGTTATTATAGAAAACTTTAGTTATTATTTTTAATTTCATAATTATTGTAATGAGCAAAAGGGTGGATGTTATTTGTTTAGACTTCTCCTTTTGTGGAGATTTAAATGGAGTGAGATTAAATTATGACCACTAACTTATGGTCTGTTAGACTATAAATACAAAAAAATTATTAGGTAAAAGTCAAATTTTGGAGGAATGAAATTGAGATATTGAATTGAGACTTTTACCCTTAAAAATTTAAGTATTATCTCTGTCATTTCTAAGTTTTAAGTCATTCTTGTGGTAGATTGAATCTGAGTCATTCAATCAAGTTTTGATCAAGTTCGATTGTGTGAAGCGACTTAATTTAGAACAATTCTCGATCTTTGATTTTAAGAGGTAATCTAATTCTAGTCTTATCTCTTGGTGAGTGGAGTGACTCAATTTAGAACACTTCTCGATGTTTTGGTGTGTGGAGGGATTAATTTATTTGATTCAAGGGTTATTAAATTGATTTTATGTTTTGGTTATATTTTTACTTGGTTCTCATTTTCTTAGTAAAGATTATATTTAAATCATGGCAAAAAAAAATTCAGAATTTTGTTTTCTAATATGGGACATAAACTTTCCTTATCATTTATTTTAGACCATCTTATTTGAAAATCAAATAAACTTTTATTTATTTATTTTTTTAAACCATCTAAATTTGTACCCTAGTGTTTGATATAATATATTTTCACAATTACTATAAGAGGAGTCTCTTATTCAAAATCTTAACTATTTTTTTTTTCATTTTTTGGGTGTGTAATTGTATCTAAAATATCTTTGTTGATCTTTTTTTTTTTTTTTTAATTTTGATGTTATTTCATCCTTAATTATCTTGATTTTTCTTGAATAGCTTGCTATTATCGGAATTGTTTTATTCATATACTAGTCTATCTTGATCATAATTTAGTCACTTTCCCAAATAACCTATTTTTTTTTGTGTAATAAACATGAGTGTTCCCAAGTGTAAAATGAGTTGAGTGCGTGAGGTGCTAAACATATTTAACACAGGTCGAACCATTACTCGTTTAAACTAGAGGAGTATTTGCAATATGAGAGCAAAATTGAGCATATTTTCGATTGCAACAATTTCTAAGAAGGCAAATTGAAGTTTGCTATGGCTGAATTTTGTGATTACGCAATTATATGGTGGACATCTTTGAAATCAGAGTGGAGGAGAAATTATGAAAAACCAATTGAAACGTGGGAGTGGGAGGAATTGAAGACGTTAATGAGAAAAAAGTACATTCCTAAGCATTATTCTTGAGTACTCAAGCAAAAACTCTATACTTTACAACAATGGTCCAAACTCTATAGCGTATCTGTCAGGCTCAGGCGTTACATAAATGTAACTAACACATGTAGCCCTAAGTCCCTCCTCATGACAGTAGGTCTGTGGTTACTTTCCTAAAAGTCTACTTCTCTCTCCTCTCTAAAGAAAAACTTGTAGTAACTTACTAAATTTGGATCTGATGAAAGCCTACCAGTAGGTTTACTAGGTATTTTTTTTATACTCACCTCTTTTCTTATTTATTTCTCAAGTGTTTATTGATTGTTGGTCGAAGATGGAGAGCGTTCAAAAGTTGTATGGTCACAAATTTTTTTTTCTTAGAACGTCAGTCTAATTTATATTTTTTTGAGTGTTTTATATTTTGCTTTAAATATGTATCATGAACCTATTTCCTATTAAAATAAGCTCGAACAACACAACCTTATAATTATATTTCATTTTGTTTTTAATTGTACTTTTATCTTACCATTTTTATCACACTCGAAGATTCCAAACACGAAGTTAGTATATCAAACACGAAAAATCGAACATAAACATTTGTAATTGCTCGATAAAGGAATGCATTGAAATTTCGTTCATATCTGTACAAATAGTTTGATACCTCTAATCCCTCTTACACAAGTACGTTACTTTAAACCAATAGTGTATAAAGAAAGGGATTTTCGTGTTTCATGCATTTGATTGCTATATATGCTTTGGCAACTAAATTAAGAAACCCTTATGCCACTTTGTCATGGACACCCACTAAGAACACAAACTCCGTACACTGCATGATTCTCCTTCAGGACATATGCCCTTTACTCTACCAACCCTTTTCTTGCACTCAAATGATTGTGTAATGAAATGAAAGGAGACTAAAACTTCACCATTTTTTTCTTTTTTATAATATTAGTTTGAAATAAAATTCTTGTGTTTGGTTACATTTATATAAAACTAATTTTGATTGATTACATATAAATTATCACGAATGAATTTTTGATTATTCGTTTCATAATCATTTTTCTTTTTTAAAAAAATTGGTTCTAGGTGAATAATACGAGCGAACATATAAATCTCATATACGCTTTCAAAGCTTTCCTTCGCTTATAAGAAACCATTGGATATTATTTTTTTTGTCGGACAAAAGTTAAGACCATTTTCAAGAGGGGGTTTTATGTCTCTATATAATTTTTAGTATTTGCACGTCTCCATGTAGAGTTATTGTAATACCAAAAGAAATTAAAGGAGGAAGGGGGAAAAATGCAAGTTTCTAATTTTAATGGAATTAGATGAATTTTTATTAGATTATGGAGATGGGATTTTTGAAGAAGGAAGAAATGCATAAATAAAAAATAATAATAAAATTGGGATATTTCAAATGTAAGCTTATCCACTCAAATTAAGTGGATAAATTTGAAGGTTAATTGATAAAATACCTTAATTCTTGTTCAAATTGGACCATTTATAAAAATTTGAAAACTAAGTTGGAAAA